CGTGCGGGGAGGCCCTTCGCTGTGGCCCCTCCGTCTCGTGCTGAGGCGAGCGGGGGATCGGGGCCGCAGGGCCCCGCTCCTAAGACCGTGTCCCGATGGCAGCAGCTCCTGACCTGCTGTGTCGGCAGAGGGTCGGGCCCCTTGCTCGGTGGCCGTGCCCCAGGCCCGAAAGTGCTGGTGCCGTGCTGACCTTGGTCGGGAACCCCCGAGACGTGAAAGTGGCCTGCAGACCCTCTCCCTGGGCCAGTGACCCGCCACACCCCGGGGCGTCCATGAATAAAATGCTGTGCAGGTCTTTCCAGCAGAGTCCCGCTTCTGGTGCATTCGTGCGGGAAGAGTTCCAGTGGGGAAAACTGCTAGGTGCTTGTTCCCAGTAGTGTTTGTATCTCGTACCCATTTTGTGGAGAAAGAGTTCACACACGTCTCGAAATTTGGGAGAGGACACCGAGCGTTAATTGTGGTTTTCTGGACGACCTCTTCGTAAACTTGTGTTTGGAGCTGACAGTCAGCAGCCGGGCTGACACAGAGCCGACTACTGCTTGGTTGGTGTGTCCGAGGCAGGGAGGTTGGCTCTGCTCATCCCTCAGCCCTGACTTGTGGGTGGACCCGTGGTGCCCCCGTCTCCCTTCAGCACCTTTAAATTCAGCGTCGGCCCTGCTGCTCATCCTGGAGGGTCTGAGGCAGTCGTGTGTTGCCGGAACGTGACCGGGACCCTGACCAGAACCAGGGTGCCGTGAGAAGCCCCTGGCCCAAGAATGCGGATTAGGAGGACCGTAGGTGTGAGTCAGTGCCACGTGGGTCCCTGGTGGCCTCCGGGCTCGGGGCTGCGTGGGTGACAGGTGGGCACCATCTGGGTCGGCCCGCCGGGTCACTGCTGAGCTGAGGTGTGTGGGTGAGCCCAGCAAGGGGACCGCACGGTCTCTCACTGAACCCCGGTTCCTCAAGCCTGCTGCACACGAGGGCCGGTGGCCCCCGGTGGCCCCATTCAGTCAGTTCAGCTGGGTGGGCAGAGCCAGGGGCCGACGGGGCGGGCCCCTGGACCCTGGAGGGCACGGTTCCTGCTGTGCAAAGTGACTTGGAAAAGCAGCACATCCCACCCAGAGCTCGGGCCCAGGCAGGGGCCAGGCGGACGTTGCGGAGGCCTTGTTTCTTCCCCAGCCGTTGGTGCCGTTTTGTGTGTGTGGCGGGGACGGCCTGTGCTCTGTTGTCTCGGCCGAAATTTCTTTGGTCAAAAGGTAAGGAAACAGCCACACGCGGAATTTGTGAAGAAACGAAAATCCGACCAGATCGTAGCCCTCAAACAAGAGGATCTGTGGCTTCCTCAGTGCTGTTTCCAGGTGGTTCTCCGACCACGCTGTGGTCCTTCCCTTACCAACCGCGTCGTGTGGACGATGTGACTGTTGGCGTGCTGGCCAGCTGTGGGCGGCTTGCGGTCGCTCCTGCATCTGCCAGCGCCCTTCCCTGTCAGGACGGGCTCTCCTTGGGCCAAACAGGGCAACCTCAAGAGGAAACGGAAGGTGACCACCACCCAGTGCCCCCAGGAGAGCCTGTGTCCAGAAGAGGACGTTGTGTTTATTACTTGTGTATTCTTTTTCTAGAATCACTTTACTGAGCTTTAACTCACAGGCATTATAAGTCACCTCCATCAAGCGTAGGGCTCCGTGGGTCAGAGTTATGTAACCATCCGCATTCCAGCCTTTGTCAAAGAAACCAGTGTCCTTGAACTGGCCCTCTCGCGGCCCCCACCGCCACCCCAGCCCCTGGCCAACCCGCACCCATTTTCTGTCTGCGTGTTCTGGACTTTCCATGTAGATGGAATCATCCGGTGTGGGTCTTCTGCGTGCGGCTTTTTGGTGCGGATGTTTTCTGTGTGCATCCGTGTCGTCCCAATTCGCCTGGGCCAGGACTTCATTCCCTGTGTGGCCGAGTAATGTTCCACCGTGTGGATGCCCAAGTGTCACCTGCTGTCCGAAAGCACAGTGTTCCTGTGAGACCTTTCTTCAGCCAAAACGGCATAAAGCAGAACAGTTACCGTTAATTTACGTGGAAAGTTTTTTGGGCGTTTCCAGACCCCAAATCTCTTGTGATTCTACTCCCCGGGACTTACTTCGCTAATGGAGACCCAAAATCAGTCGTGATCGAGCCCAGGTGCTCACGGACACCGCTCAGAGCTGTGGCGGCTGGAGGCTGACGCGGGTCCCGGGAAGGAGGTTGGCGGGGCCTTGCCTGCTGCTGGGGTTCACGCCGCCTCTGTTACAGCTCGCTGCGGAACCAGTGCTGGATGCTCTTCCCGCTTTTTGTCTTTTTTCCCTACACGCAGAAGTCTTCAGATTGAGTCTGATTAGCAAGAACTGGTACTGACCTAGGTGTTTCGTAAGAGCGAAGTGGAGGATGCCTCCACCGCATTTCCGTTTACCGTTTGTGTGCGGGGCGCCTGTGACCATTAGTGCCGCTGTAGACACGCACGAGCTTCTGCGGGGACCCGCTTCTCGCTCCTCGGTGTGTACCCAGGGACGGAATTGCTGGGCCGGGCGGTAGGTGACTCCTTGACCTGCGTGAAGACCCGCCGGGCTTCTCACAGTCGCCACACCTCCTGATGTTCCCACCTCTGGACGGGGCGCAGCTTTAGGCGGGCGCTCCCTGGTGCCGCTTGACCTGTGAGCCTGTGGCGTGCCCTTGGCGCCACGGCTGATCAGAGCGGACTGATGGCCTTGAGGGTGCCTTGCGGCTGCAGAGAACCCGCCTGGCCCCTGTGCGGGGGTGCACTCCGGACCGTCTCACCCCTGCCCCTGCCTGGTCCCGCTTGGACCTGACTGGCTCAGCCGTCCACCTGTGTGCTGTCGGGCAGGAGACAGTCACTCTGAGCCTTCGCTGACCTATCTGTGAAATGGGGGTAACATGGCCGGGCTGGGGATTATATTGCTGTTTTTTCCAAGGCAGCCTGAAATTTACAGAGGAGTCACAAACGTGATGAGCGTTTTTCACCCAAACCGCTTGAGAGTTGTGTGCTGACTTGATGCGTATCACCCGGAATACTTTAGGTGCATTTTCTGCAACCAGCATTCTCTTAACCACAGCACAGTCATCGAGTCAGAATTAGCATGGGCCCCTCTGTGCCATCGAAGCCTCCGGTCTGTTCAGCGATGCCCTCTGCAGCCACGAGACCCCATCTGGAGTCACCCGCGTCTGATTCTTGTTTCTCTTCAGCTTCCTCTGAACGAGACTAGGTCCTCCGCCCTTGTGTACCATCCAGGACCTGGATGTCGGGTGGATCTCAGGCTGGCGATTCTTTTTTATTTTTTAATTTTTTAATTTTTTTTTTTTCAACATTTATTTATTTTTGGGACAGAGAGAGACAGAGCATGAACGGGGGAGGGGCAGAGAGAGAGGGAGACACAGAATCGGAAACAGGCTCCAGGCTCTGAGCCATCAGCCCAGAGCCCGATGTGGGGCTCGAACTCACGGACCATGAGATCGTGACCTGAGCCGAAGTCGGACGCTCAACCGACTGCGCCACCCAGGCGCCCCTCAGGCTGGCGATTCTGTACATCGTCCCCACTGCGGGTGACTGGTGGTCCCTCGCGTCTAGACTCGGGTCACCCCTCTCGGCAGGAATCGGAAACAATGCTCGTTCTCCCCGTGTCCTGCCCGGGCCTCCGCTTTCCTTCCACCTGCCCTGGTGCGGAGGCACCTGCTTGTGAATGTGGCCCCTTCCCTTGGTTGCTAACGGTGTGTGTGGCAAGGGCCTCCGCGGCCCCCAAACGGAGCTTCTCGCCAAACTTCATTTGCTCGCTGGTTGACTTACGTCGGTGGCTCATGGTTTCCTGTTTTATCTTGTGGGTTGTAATCTGTTCCTGCCACTTATTCTAATAGCATGTCCCGTTTGGGCCAGTGGGAGACTTCAGGCTGGCTTCTGCTCCCCGTAAGGAGCCCCCACCACCCCTCACCTTTGTCACAGTAAGAATCCTCAGCCCTGGGACTGGCCGCTTCTCCACAGAGCACTGACTCGATTGACGGTACAACCCTGCCTGGCTCGGGAGGAGCTGGTGTGGACGAGGGCCTACTGGAGTCCCTTCATCTTGCGTTCTGCCACCACGTCACTGAGATGTACCTCACGCGGCGTTCAGTTCTCCTGCTTAAAGTGTCCTGTCCGGGGGTTCTTCATGTATCCGCAGGGGCGTGCCTCCGTCACCACGGGCCAGCATGGGACATTTGTACCCATCCCCCCAAAGAAACTCCATAGTGGGGGCCTCTTAACTTGGAGAAAGCCTGTGTGAGGCTTCTGGACCAGCAGGAGCCCCCGCCAAGAGGTGGTGATGGGTTGTTGCTCACAAGGCTAATAAATGAATTTATAGTTTTCTCGAACCACTAAGAGGTCTGGAACACATACAGCTTGCGTCTGAGGCGACCTGAGGAATTCTCTCCTGGGTGCTTACACAGTAGCTCTGGGGGTCGGTGGTCAGGTAGGGGCCTCTCGGGACCCTTTGCCTCCTCTGTGTCAGCAGTACAAGTAGGTGGGACTGGAGCTTTGGTCCGGGGCACGTGGGCTGCCCCTGTGCCGTGGGGTCTTGGCTCACCGACCTCGGAGATAAGTCTCGTCCCTGCCTCGCCTTGCTTGGCAAGGCAGGCCTGGCCTTGAATCAACCGGAGGGGAGGGCTCGTGTCAGCCGGGGCCGCCTCTGAGTTAACTGCTCATCGGTCACTACCGTGACCCAGAACTCCCGTTTTAGCCACAACCAGCAAGGGGTCAGGCCCGCTGCTTCGCTTTTGCAATGAGGACCGGCGGGTTGGGTGGCAAAGCAGGGGGCAGCTTTCACCCAGGGCAAAGAGACACCAGGGCTGCGAGGGAGGGGTTTGGTTGGGGGTGAGGGGCGG